GGATTTGTGCGGAGGAAGTCCTCCTCCTCTTCCTTGTACAAGTCGAACATGATATTTGCCAGATCTTTTGCCGAGCCCGGCCCTCTGCGGCCATGACGGGTGGCGTCATATTCCCCGTTGAAATCCCACATAGTGTGGCCCCTATATTGTAGTGGCTGCACCCCTCGCATAATGCACGTGGCCATGATTCCAATCATGGTCAATCCGGAGTGGGCCAGTAACCTAATCCGACCCATCAGATAATGGACGCTCCCATCATCCTCCCGTTGAGGGCTCCGCGGGCGCCAACTTAGGCGTTTCTTCAAGGGAGCATTGCTGAACTCCGGGAGGCCGATCCGAACTGGATCCGGCAGAGGGGCGTCCTCCATGTAGAACCATTTCGAAGGCCAGTCTTTGGATGCCTTCTTCGGGGTGCCGGATAGATATCCGGTCCCGGCGATGCGCCATATTTCGGCTCCGCCCACTTGATATATCGACCCCTTGTAAGAACGGGGTACGAGGCAAAACAATCTCTTCCACAACACAAAATGGGGCTCGATGCCCAGGAACAGCTCGCAAAGAGCTACAAAGCCCGCGATGTGCAAAATGGAGGCATGTGTGAGGTGGTGAAGCTGGAGTCCGTAGAACTCCAGGAGCCCCCGGAGAAACGGATGTATGGGAAATCCGAGTCCCCTTATTAGATAGGGGACGAAGCATACCCGCTCTCCTTTGAAAGGGTTGGGGACGCTCTCCGCCTGCTTTCCACCCCTGAAGGTGGTCAGTCCGGCTCGAACCGGAACCATGAAAGCTGGGGGAAGATATCCCTCGGTTTGGAGCGCCACTAGCTCGCTGTGTGGAACTGAGCATCTCCCCCAATCTCCTGGCTTAGGGCTGGGAGCGCGAGAGGAGGACTCGCGTCGACTATCCATGATGGAATTGATTTTTGTCAGAGGCGCTTCGATGAGAACTTGCGGATGGAGGATGGTGTGAGCTGGATCTAGATCCTCGCCTCTCTTATAGGCGGCTCGTTCGCACGGCTAGGGGGTAAAATGTAAAAATACCCTAGCTTTTCGCATTCATACGACACGTGGAAGAAGGCCATTATTGGGCGTAGAAGCCAAGGAGCGCAACATTTATAAGGAAGCCGGACACTATTCGACAGGAACATGAAGTTTGAAGGAGAACCCGCCTTGCAACGCCGAAGACAATATACGCGCCGGACTCGTCGTCGCTGAAGCCCGGTTCGGGGGCTACTGAGGGAGTCCCGGACTAGGGGGTGTCCGGATAGCGGAACTATCATGGTCGGCCGGACTCCAAGATTATGAAGATACAAGATTGAAGACTTCGTCCCGTGTCCGGATGGGACTTTCCTTGGTGTGGAAGGCAAGCTTGGCGATACGGATATGTATATCTCCTACCATTGTAACCGACTTTGTGTAACCCTATCCCTCTCCGGTGTCTATATAAACCGGATGGCTTTAGTCCATAGGACGAACAACAATCATACCATAGGCTAGCTTCTAGGGTTTAGCCTCCTTGATCTCGTGGTAGATGCACTCTTGTAACACACATCATCAATATTAATCGAGCAGGACGTAGGGTTTTACCTCCATCAAGAGGGCCCGAACCTGGGTAAAACATCGTGTCCCTTGTCTCCTGTTACCATCCGCCTAGACGCACAGTTCGGGACCCCCTACCCGAGATCCGCCGGTTTTGACACCGACACCTAGCGTCATCGAACCTTAAGTGTGTAGACCCTACGGGTTCGGGTATCACGCAGACATGATCGAGATAACTCTCCGGCCAATAACCAACAGCAGGATCTGGATACCCATGTTGGCTCCCACATGTTCCGCGATGATCTCATCGGATGAACCACGATGTCAAGGATTCAAGTAATCCCGTCTGCAGTTCCCTTTGTCAATCAGTACATTACTTGCCCGAGATTCGATCGTGGGTATCCCAATACCTCGTTCAATCTTGTTACCGGCAAGTCACTTTACTCGTTACATAATGCATGATCCCGTGACTAACCACTTAGTCACATTGAGCTCATTATGATGATGCATTACCGAGTGGGCCCAGAGATACCTCTCCGTCATACGGAGTGACAAATTCCAGTCTCGATTCGTGCCAACCCAACAGACACTTTCGGAGATACCTGTAGTGCACCTTTATAGTCACCCAGTTACGTTGTGACGTTTGGTGCACCCAAAGCACTCCTACGGTATCCGGGAGTTACACAATCTCATGGTCTAAGGAACTGATACTTGACATTAGAAAAGCTTTAGCAAATGAACTACACGATCTTGTGTTGTGCTTAAGATTGGGTCTTGTCCATCACATCATTCTCCTAATGATGTGATCTCGTTATCAATGACATTCAATGTCCATAGTCAGGAAACCATGACCATCTGTTGATCAATGAGCTAGTCAACTAGAGGCTCACTAGGGACATGTTGTGGTCTATGTATTCACACATGTATCACGGTTTCCGGTTAATACAATTATAGCATGAACAACAGATAATTATCATGAACAAGGAAATATAATAATAATTATTTTATTATTGCCTCTAGATCATATTTCCAACAATGAGGAGGAGTACGATTACGATGGGGACCTCCACCGACTCAGCCAACCTAGGAGAAGAGAGGGAAAATTTTAAAGAAGGACTGGAAGAGTTCATCCCCGTTTCAGAAACCGCCTACTCATTGCATTAAGAAGTCGGGCGAGGGGGACGAGCAAGTGATATGGTCGTGATGGTGATGTCGCTTAGTTGAATTAGTTGTGAACAAGAACTTGTATGCTACGTTGGTGATGTCGATTTGCTACCTTTAAACTATGTTGAACCTATTTGATATTTCGAACCTATTTCATATGTCGATTTGCTACCTAGAATGTGTGAGATCATCACATTTCGATTTGCAAACAATATTTGTTGTTGTGTTGAACTATCATTCATATGTAGTTGAAATGATCAAGATCTTCTCCAAAAATAAATGACAGAGCACCCTACCGACAGGCTCTTCAGCGGTAGGGCTTTACAGCCTACCGCCAATACCCTACGCAGAAAATGGGTCAATCCCTGTCACTGAACACTCACGCGCACTAGTCCTGGCACACCCCTTAACGCAGAGGCGGGTGGCGGTAGCCTTAGCTACCCTACCACCGTTAACAACGGCGGTAGAGCCGTTACGCCACGTCAGCCCCAATAAGGATGGCTAACGACGGTTGCCGTTATGCCATCGCGCGGTAGCCTGCACAACCCTACCGCCAGGTAGCCTGCACAACCCTACCACCATGGTCCCTGACGATAATCAAAAGGTCAAATTCCAAAATTCTTTCGAACAGGATCAGATCCTGGCTGAACTTTTCACGGGAGGTCAAAACATAAAAATGGGAAACATTTCACGCCGGGGCGCCGGACGAACGACGCGCCGGTCTAGTTGCCACGCAAGCGTTCGCGAAACGTCACGAGTAAGCCACGTACGCGCTTGCAGCCTATCTTATCCATATCCCTTTCATCTCCAGAGAGCCCGAACCACATGTTTTCTTCTTCCTCTCCCTTAGATCGAAATCTCCACACAGGCCCGCACAATCACCGTAACCATGCTACGCGGCCGCATGCTGTAGGGGGGTGCGGCCACTAACGCTGCAAGGTGCGAAGCCAAGGGGCGCTCCTCGCATGTCCGCGCGTCCACCTTCCTTTTCTCACCCCCCACAGCGCCGCGGCGACCATGGCCATGGGCGGGCCTCGGAGCTTGGTGGAGCAGCAGCATCAGCTGTGGAATATTGGTTGTAGCAAATTCAATCGCCGGTGGTAGCGAAAATCTACTGCGGTTGCAGCAAAACGGCGTCATCGTCATCGCGGGTCGCAGCTGAGATAAGAAGCTTGAAGCTTTTTTTAATGCGGTTGTAACTTTTATAACTGTCGGTTGCAACTTTTCGTTTTTCGTCCATGATTTCGTTTTCACGATTGAAACTTTTTTTATAGTCGGAAGAAGCTTTTTTCGTCGCTAGACGAAGCTTTTTTTGTCACCGGTTGTAACTTTTTTTGGTCATCCATACCTCCAGTCGTATATTGGTTGAAGCTTTTTTCGTAGCCGGTTGAAACTTTTCCTATCGCTAGTTGTAGCTTTTTGTCGTTGGTTGTAGCACTGGGCATCTCCCCTGGTGCTCGATTTTTTGTTGCAAGCTGCATACCTGGGATGAGCAGCGGCGAGCATGCCGGCGAGCTTCAGTCGTCGCAACCAGAGCTACATCGGTCTCAACAAGAGCTTCAACCGCGGGTGCGGCTATTGCACGGGGTAAAGCAACAAGGACGGCCGGCGGTGGTTGGGGCTGGTGACTGGGATGGTGGCCGGCGGGGAAGAGGGTGGACGGCTGCGACGAGGACGGTGGCCGGCGGGACGAGGGAGAACGGCTGCAACGAGGACGGCAGCGTCGTGGACGAGGGCGGACGGCGAGCTGGCTGGCATATGGGAGATCACGAGGATAGTGGGGATGAACAGACGGCATGAGTTTTTTTTACCAGCGCAGCAATTGGGGAAGATGCAATCGTGCGGCTATTACGGAACTGGGAAGATGCAATCGTGCGGCTATTACGGAACGTATCGTATGTCCACGGTGCGACCGGCCGAATTGTTCGGCCGGCGCACCGGCGCAGATAAGTGCCCCATAAAAATTGGTCGCGACCAGCCGACCATGCTTAAATTGTGCAAAAATTGTGCAAAACTCATGCTTAAAAATTGTGCAAAACTCATGCCGGCCACAACAAACAAAAGTGGTACTAATAAAATTATAACTTAGCTACAAGTGCTACGCAAGAGAATCGATCAAGAGAATAAACGAAGAAACTAATTGAAAAGTTTGCGCATCGTCTTCCAAAACTTGCTGACTGTGAGTCAGATCCGCAGAGATTTCTAGCTGCAACGCATTATCCCCCGTCACGGAAGGTTTGCTCACGGCGTGGCGCACATCAACGCTGCCGCGGGCGCGCCGACATCTCCGTCTTCCTCCTAGCACGACTCGCCGTGGCCCGTCGACAGCCTCTTTTTCTTCGTCCTGCCGCCGACGCTCGCGTCATCCTGCGTCGTCGTCCACGGCGCCTCCTCTCCTCGCCTCCAATCACTTCCCTTGGAGCTTGACACTGAAAGGCCGGGGCCGGACCCTGGACGACAGGCCCCTGGCGATCCCATCGCCGATGAACACCGCTTGTTGGCACGGCTGGTACATGATGGCCGTGCCTGCGCAAACGTAGGTCCAGAGGTACAGGATGGACTCGGGGCCTGCACCCGGCGGCCCATAGGAGGCGCACCGCCCAACCCGCACGCGAACCCGCCGGCGAGGAGGTCGGCCTGGAACATGTCCACGAACAGCTGCTGCAGCTCCTCGAAGCTATCCTGCAAAGACATCACGTCATCAATAATATCCACCCAAACCACAGAATGTGGTAAGGCGCAACAATTGCAGATCTAGCTTGCTTACGGTTGGCGTGGCCTGGCTCATCATCTCGGCCATCTCCCCGAAGAAGTCGCCCATCCCCGACACCTGCGACGAATAAATTCCAGTAAACAACCAAATGGGCTTCGATCACAACGAAACGTGGGCAATCAGGAACATAGCAAGGTACATGCTGCTCGTCGTGGCTGTCGTTGTCGCTGTCGTAGACGCCCACGTCGTAGAGGAGCCGCTTGCCGGAGTCGGAGAGCACTGCGTGCACAACATGGAAAAACAGAGGAGGCCCCGTACGTGACATATGAGTTCAACGGACGTAGGCAGGCCGCAGCGGGGTATGGAAATAACTTAATTGTGCTGTGCGTCGCTAATTGATTTGCTTGTGCTTCTGAAGGGAAGCACGTAGAAGAACAGAAGAAGATGGTGGAATGGGGGAATCATGACGCTCTTGCACGTGACATATGCGCTCTGGATCTCCTGGAAGCGCTCCTTGGCCTCCTGGACGCGCGCCGAGGTGCCGGACGCCGAGCACCGGTCCGGATGCCATGTCTGCCACAAACAAGATCGAAGAGAATGATAAGGACAGACTCACAGTCACAGGTACATAAACTCCAAGCAAGATATGCGGCCCATCGGTCGGCCTCAGACTCACCATGGCGAGCCTCCGGTAGGCGAGCCTGAGGTCGGCGTCGGAGCACTCCTTCTTGAGCCCCAGGACGCCGTAGAGGTCGACGTCGGCGGCGCTAAGTTGCCGGTGGTCGGCCATGGCGCCGGTACCGTACCACAACCTCCTTTTACGTACGGTCGCTGTCGAGTTTGTCGTCGGGACGCTGTCGGCAGCTGACCGGAGGCGCGCGAAGGCGAGGCGGAGAGCAGGAGGGGCGTAAGGTGGCGTACGAAGGAACGTTGACGAGCGGACGAGGTGGGCCGGTGTCGTGCCTGTAACTCTCTTTCTGTAGTACTGTGGGCTGTGGCGTGCGAACAAGTTGCGCGGGCAGAACTCACCAGAAAAGAAGCTCGTGGACTGGTGGGGTCTCCACCCGCCCGCCGCCGGAAGCCTCCAGAAGCGTTGAGAGGGTGAGACCGACGGCCAGCTGACTCGCTTTTTCAGTAAAAAAAAAGGGGACTGGAATTTCTTCTTTATATGAGTACCAAATTAGAAAGATGCCACGCATTGGCACAACCCAGATGAGGATCGGTGAAGTATACAAACTTTGCAAAGTTTGTTTATCTATGAGCAAAAGGCACTCCACTATTGAGCATGCAAAGTTCCGTTTTGAGGCTCCTCGAAGCCTGGAATGGTCTCGATCCTTTCGACTTCGCCAACTAAACGAATGCCGAATGAGTTGTGACATGTCGGCCTAACACCACATCGGGGTTCCACTTTCTAGGGTCGGTAAACAATTTATAACAATTTATTTTGAAAGAAAGGAGTATAATCCAAGATGCTAGGAGTATAACCCAAGATGCTTTGCTAAATCATGAGCTAAATTAAATCACTAAACAAAAATAAGACATCACTTAGTTTAAGCTGCTTGTAAATCATTTTAAAACATATTATCCCTTCCCCTCAAATAATAAAAAGAACTTAGGGCATCTTCAATGGCATCTCTTACAATGAACACGTTATTTGTCCGTAGACATTGATACGGAAGCCAACCATCAACCCGCTGTCATGTCGTGTCTATTTCATTCAAATGCATAGCAACATGACGCAAACAAAAGTGTGGTGTTCATAGCGCTCGATCATAAACAAAAAATAGATGGATGTTTACAAATTTACATGTGGCCAATCACAAAAGGCTCTAGTTTGATAGTCCTTTCAAAAAAAAGTCAGGATTTTTCATTTTCTGCGACAAAACTTTGTCAACCGACTTTTGGTAGAAGGAATAGCGAATTGTTGCTTTATGATAACCTACAAAATAATACTTGTCTACTTTGGGATCGAGTATTTGGTTGTAAACGTTTTACATAAGTTTCAGAACCCCAAATTTTGATATGCAATAAATAGGTTTATTCGCATTTCATAACTCATATGGTGTCAATTCAGCAAACTTTGGCAATGTTCTGCTCAGTATATATGTTATTGTTTTTACCATTTCTAAGAGCATTACTAACAGACCCCGTATACCGAAAAAGGGTTTCCCTCACTTTATATTATAAGCAAACATCACCGAATACATCTGAGAGACCGAACAACGCACACACCCAAGGCAAGATACAGAGGTGTCAGGCACTGACACACCACCCCACAAACAATACTAGAGAGGTGAATAAGACAACAACGAAGCTAGGCCTCCAAAGCAGTGCCTTCAATAAGGGTACGACCTAGGATAGCCGCCACTGCCCGATTCGCGAAGATCAGGTTTTCACCCGCAGCAAGACGACATGAGTGGGAGCACCACGACAGAGCCTTCAGGAAGGGTACGGCGACAACGGCCGCCGCCACCGTCGTCCAGTCAAAGGACTGGGCAAGTGGTGTACCCTGGAGCTCACACCCCACCGTCGCACCCTAATCCGTCAACCACCCGCAACCACACCACCCGCGAGGCCATGGTTGCCCGCCCTACCTGGGACGCACACTCCGCCCACAAATGTCACACCTCCCGCCGCCAGAGCCGCCGCCCTGCAACCAGACAACCCCGAGACCTACACAAAGGCCCTGACTTTGGACCAACCGACGGCCCTCGACCGACAGAACCACCCGCAGACGCTCCGCAGGTAGATCTGCGCCAACCCACCCGCGGCTGAGGAACGGGGGAGAAAGGGGAGCGGACGAATCCGGACCGGCACACCCCGTGCCGGCGACAGGTAATGCGGCCGCATCGAGGCCACCCATCCCTCCAACCGAGTTTCCCGTTAAACACGAGGAAAGGGGGAGGAGAAAAAGCGAACGCACTCGGACCGACAAAAGTGCCGGCGACAGATGGCGCGACTGCATCGAAGCAGACCCCGTATAATGCCAACCCGCATAACACGTTTACAGTTTGAGGAAGATCTGTTTTGCGGGGAAAAATCGTGCGCGGCAGAGTAGACCACATATATAAATATGTATAGTTCAAAAAAAGCTTTCCCGGAAGAAATTGCAACCACATTGATCATGGGTAGTTCATCACAACATAGTACATAGATCATACATACTACATTCTACTACTACTAGAGGGGGGAAAGGGCCCCCGCGCCGGAGGTGAGCCACGCGGCCGAGGAGGGCGTCCACCTATGCCAGCGGGCGTACTCCTCCGTCTCGCAATGGAGGAGCCTTGCCGACAGTTTGAGGCCTTGGTTGGCCCACTTCCTGGCCGCACGCTTCCTCGCGCCGTTCACATGGACACTGCGCTCGCGCTCGAAGTCGTCGCCCCCACCGAAGCTCCACATACGGCCCCGCGCGGTGGCTGGAGGTGAAACTGTGCTCACCGGCGGCGAGAAATGCGGCGGAGGGAGTGAAGAATCACGGCGAAACGCGGCGGCGGGGGATAGGGTTTCGACCCGTATCTACCCCGCAAACTCGTAGTTATATGGCTTCAGGGGTAAGGTTTGCGGGCCGCGATAAAAATTCTTACGGGCCGGACGAGTATATGGGCTCTGTTTTAGCCAGAAAATTGGGCTGAGCCCGTATACTCGCCGAAATTATGCGGGTTCGCGTGTTATACGGGGTCTGATAAAGATGCTCTAATGGGCAGCAAACCTTCAACTTGCTCCAATGGATGTAATTTTTACTATTTCTAGTGTTTCTTTAACCTTTTTTGCGGGGGGAGTGTTTCTTTAACCGACACAACGAAAAATGAAATAGATCAAAAGATTTTCTAATAAATAAAATGAAAAAGTAATTTTTTTCCGATAAAGGGCGATTTTATTATCTCAAAATGTAGCATCAAGCGGATACTAAGAATTATGAGTAACACCCGGTCTCTGCATAACTAAGATGCACACGGCTCAATATGAAGGTCTGACAAAAAATAATGAAAAAAACCGATAAATCGGCAACAATAGAGCCCTATAGACCAACACTATGCCTATGTCGATGGAGGTGGTGGATCGATCCGGAGGTTATGTTGCCAGCCATGTTGGGAAAAAACCTCCATAGCCACCTGATCCAATCGCATACACACCGCCTTGAACAATGATTGGTCCTCCGGTCGTTGTAACATAGACCACATACGTAGCAATTGCGTACACCAGAAAATAACTTGTAGAGGAGAAGCATTTTTTTCCATTAAAAACCAAATAATTTCTACATAGCCAAAGCGACCAAATTAAGGTATACGCTATCACCCTTATTAGCGTTTTTAACCTATTTGAAATACCCTTCAACCAATGACCAAAAATATGGCAACACTTGTGGGCGGATACAAATTTGACGCTATTTGGATGACTGACCATGTAGAACGTGCAAACTTGCATTGGAAAAGGAGGTGTTTGATTGTCTCGTCATAAGTACAAAAACAACACTTCTTACTCCCTTGCCAGTTGCGTCGTGCGAGATTGTCTTTGGTTAACACAACACCCCTACGAAGATACCACATGAAAATTTTCACTTTTAGTGGAATCTTGGACTTCCAAATTTTCTTATTATTACTCACTGGTACATCAGAATGCGTGAGCGCACGATACATAGAGTGTAAGATTATGCCATGACACAAGTCAGAGGTCAATCAAATCCCGCCTGAATGAAATATTCGGTGGGAATGAACTGAGCACTTGCGCAATAGTATTATTCTTATCGCGAACAATGTTGTATAAGCCTGGATATTGTTCTCGGAGACTAGCCTTGCTTAGCCAGATGTTTTCCCAAAAATGAATCTTCGACCCATCATTCATTGTGAAAGACCCAAAGCGAAAGAGATGTTTCTTTACCGCCATTAGGCCAGCCCAAAAGTGTGAATCGTCAGGTTTCCAAAATGCCTGGGACACCGCCTTTTGACCTAGATACTTGTTGAGCAGCATGGTTTGTCAAACACCATCCTCATTAAGAAGTTTGAACAACCATTTACGGAGTAGGGCCTCATTTTTTACCTGCAAGTCATGAATTCCGAGCCCTCTTTGGTCTTTTGGCCTAGAAACCACACTCTATTTGGCCAGCCTGTATTTTTTCTTTTCACCGTCTTCTTGCCAAAAGAATTTGGATCTAAAATAATCCAGTCTTTGTAGGACCCTTTTTGGGAGTTGGAAGAAAGAAAGCATATAGAGAACCATATTTGTGAGGACAGAGTTAATCAAAACCAACCGTCCTCCAACTGAGAATAGTTTGCCTTTCCAACTACTCAACCGTTTCTCTAGACGCTCCTCTATATGCTTCCACTCCGCAATGGTGAGAGGTCGATAATGAATCGGTATTCCCAGATATTTAATCGAGAATTGGCCATGTGCACAACTAAATAGGTTAGTATAATCAGCCGCCTCAACGGCTTCTCCAAAGCAGAACAATTCGCTTTTATGTAAGTTTATTTTGAGACCCGGCATTTGCTCAAACGCTGAAAGCAAGAGTTTCAGGTTTTGAGCCTTGTCCAAATCATGTTTCATAAAAAAAATTGTGTCATCGGTGTATTGTAAAATAGAGAGGCAACAATCCACAAAGTGTGGCACTTCTCCTGCAATCTGGCCGTCCTGCTTCTGCTTGGCACGGTCAATCAGAATCGCCAACATGTCTGTCGGATTTAGGGTTCCGGCAGACCCTTGAGGTTCGAACACCCGGGTGCGCGTGGAGGTTTCGCCTTCTACCTACCTGTTCCTCACCGAATCGCTGGGATCTAAACTACTAGAAGAACA